GTTGCTGCATTTCCGGAAAGGGTTTTAAGGATGTCAGGCACGTTCATGATTTTGGCAACTGGGGCGGGTCGGGTGGGGAAGACAAGGTTTGAGATGGGGTAAGGTTTGAGATGTTCATGCTTGTGGCTTTCCTACGTGCCATGCCACTGTCTGCTTCAGAAATTGGAGAGGCAGGCCCAGATTTTGCCGTCAGGACTGTGTAAATCACGCTTGCGAATGCCATCTATCCGGGTACCTTATATAGGTACCTTGTTATAGCTAGAGTATAAGTTACACCGAAGCCCTACACCGTTTAAAGCCCCTTTCCTCTCAGTTCGCCCTGGCAGGTTGACACCGTCGGGAATCCTCAGGCCTGGAAAATCTTCAAGCTGCTCTGAGCCTACAGCCTACGCAACCTTAAATCCGCCACCAGTAGTATGTTAATCGCTAGTATGCTCAGGAGTGCCATGGCCTATTTATCTGATGAAAGGTTCATTCTTGCGATTCCTGCGGTACTTGGGGCTTTCTTTTAGCTTTCTCTTGAGATGGAATTGGAGATCGCCGCTGGAGCTTTGGGGGTCGCAGCTTCGGTCTTATTTGTTTCGGTCTTATTTGTTTAAAGCTTTTTGCCCTAGCCCCGAATAGCCTACTACCGCAAAAGGACCGAAAAAGAAATCATAATAAGGAATCCTAAAAAGGGAGGTTCTTCAGGGTCCAGGTACGGCTTTGGGGGCCCTTTAGGGCTTCACGGTTTTCTGCTGGGCACCTTCGGTGTTGCAACTTTTTCTGTCTGCGAAACCGTTATCCTTATGAAGCCAATAAACCATATAACAATTTTCAGCCCTAAACCGAATCACCGAAGTACACCGACTAAGTCAGGCTGCCTGCATGGTCGGTGTCATCCCAAAATTTCATGGGCAGGTCTCTTAGACCCCTTACTCCGTGCTTCGATAGGGCTCAGGGGCTTCGGGTTCAAACAGGGGGGAGTCTGGAGATCGAGATATTCAGCTCCGTCCTTGTCTACGTGCGATACGGCTGGACGGCTTTACAGCATACCTTCCAGAAAACAGCCGAAATATGGAAGGTTTAGGGGTTTAGGGTCTTGAGACTCAGCCGAACTGTGAAACGTTAGGACCTGAACCCTTTCAACTTCAAAAGCCCGAAGCCCTAGCCGCGCCATGCTTTTTCGTCTTAGAGCCCGACGCCTGAACAGCGAGCCCCTTCCCTCCTGAAATGTAGTAGGTCCTACAATTAGAATTTAATATTGGGATACTATAGAATCTTAGAAATGAGGGCCTTCGCAGACTAGGGATACGATAAAACTCTTAGCAGGGCCTGAAAGCGGGCTTGAAAGGCTCGAACCCCAAATCCCGAAGCGATGGAGGCTTCGGGAAAAACTCTCCCCCTACTGCAGGTGATGAAGCGCAACTCCCTGCTCCGAAAGGACCGTTACCAGGGCAGCTCCTAACTTTGCACCTCAACCTTGACATTTCAGCCGGAGAATCGCACCAAAAACCTAAACCTCGTAGGGCCCACCGGGTGCGGTCAGTTTCCGGAGTTCCGATGCCCCATAGGCAGGGGTCTTGATAAAGAAGAATAGGGTTTTGGCGTTGGGGGGTCAATTATCTTGTAGTAGAGTACTACTGTGGCCTAAACCCCTAAAGCCCCAAACCCTAAACTACCCCATGCCCTAAAGCCCTTTCCTATGAAGACCTCGCCGTGAGTATAGTTCTCAACAATGCGAGAGGGAAAACAAAAGCCCTGAACCCTAAACCCCTAAACGCCTCTTTGTCCTACCTTTGTTGCCTCTCCGGGTCCACCTTAACCCCGAACTCTACACCCAACACTTCAGAATGGTTTAGCCTTCGCTCCTTTGTGATGGCCTTAATGCCTTTATTCATGTTTGGTTTGGTGTATTTTCGTGTTACGTAGGACCTTAGAAACCACCAACCCGCGAGCCCGCGGATGCCATGGATTCTATAGTGATGACTGAGACGGGCCAAGCACCTGCAGGCATGCAACAATGGCACATCTGGGTTGGCCTGGGATGCTGATGCACTGGCGTGAAGAACAGATGGCTGATCTGGGTGACGTGAGAAGTTTCTCAGGAATGGACGACTGGAGCGAAATGGCAACGCATGACGGAATTCACTGCATTGGATATCTGCACCACGAGATCTGAGAAGCCAGAGATGCTTGCGAATAAATTTTGCATGGCTGCATGGAAGTGCATGGGAATGGAATGTGTGAGGATGCCAACGCTTCAGATATGGACGACACTGGGAAAATCAGTCAGGGCGACTCAACAGCGAATCAAGCCATTCGCTGAGTGCAAGACCTATGCGAGGGAATCCAAGAATTTGAAACTGCATGAACAGAAGATATGTCGATATTCGAAAAGCTTGAGCAAGCCTGTCAACAGAATACTCTGGGTCCGACCATCAATTGCTGATTGCTGGTGGCTTTGCGTCTGAGATCAGCGGATGCATATGATTATGGTTTACAGTACCATCTGCCTAGGCTGGCGATTGAAATTTGGGCCCTGTTGGTCATGGAACAGAGAAATGCAGTTGACAAAATGTGGAAGGCGCAATTCATTTGCAAGCTTGCCAGTGAGTTAATTCGTGGCGGTCGTTCGCATGTGTATCTTACTCAGCGAGTTTCACGTTCACTCAAGTTAGGCTAAAGGAGGGAACAGAAATACCTGAGGTCCTCCCTGGCCTTTTATGTTTGACCCATGTTTGCTTCAACTACTTTACCTGAACCACAAACAATGTTTCCTCCTGTATGACATTCCGTCGAAGTCCGCTAACTAGCTACAGAGACGAGCGGAGTTTGGTGGACACACGTGCGTAAAGTGTTGACATAGAGGTTCTATGGTAGGGTCCTCGATGTCTTTTTTGAAGCATGTGTGTGAGTTTCAATTTGCAGACCTCGTACCGTATGCCTCGCCTGGATTGTCCGAGTGTGAGAGCCGAAACCCCTAAACCCCCAAAGGACCCCCCTGCGCTGAAGCCCTGAACCCTAAACCCCTAAACCCGTAAAGCCCCAAACCATAGACGACCCCAAGCCCTAAAGCCCTAAAGCGCTGAACCATTTTGGCTCAAGCATGATCTTCTGCTAACCCTCGCTGCTTGGTCATCACTCACTGCCGATCTGACAAAGATGGCACCCAAGCTGGCGAGTCATATCACCGGAGCACAGGAACAAACAGTCGCATTGACAAACGACGTGCAGAGGGTCATTGCAAAACCGGTACAGACTGGAGGTAGCGACATCGACGTGAACTTGTCAGAGTTCCTGCAGTACGTTGGAACGTGGGACGCTACCATTGCTCGCACCATTATGAGCAAGTTCTGAGCGCTTGCATTTGCCTGGTCGGAGAGCAAGGCTGCCGGAAAGTATGTGTTCTGCGCCCAAACCCTGGTTACGAATCCAACAGATACCCACATTTCGCTGGCACAGAGTGAAATGCAAAAACTGTGGATTACGTATCCAGCTCCAGGCACTGACGTGTTTCTGGCACATCCTCGCTCCATGACGATGCTCAGAGATTTGGCAAAGTCCCCGGTTGCAAACATGATCAAGCAGAAAGACACAACCGGAACTCTGTCAGACGAGGAGCTTGGAATTCTTGCTCATATATTTGCGTTGGTTTTCCGTTCAGCAGCTCTTGGCCACGGTCCGGGTGATGAGACCAACCCACAATACACAAAGCAAAAGGAGGCAATGATTGGTGGAGCTCCTCCTCGGAAATACCCTGGTCCGATGGCGTTCTGGCTCGGCTGGTTTCAGGTGCAGGCAAGTGAGTTGACTGCCGAGTACATTGAGCTTATCCTTTCAGTGACAGTGCAAAATGACATCCTGTTCACGACTGCAATGAAAGCTCCAGGCACATTAAGGCAGTTTATCCATGAATTCAAAGATGAGTTTACACGACTTGCCAGACCTTGTTAACCTTACCCCCGGCTGCCTGGGTGGGACTTGGGTCGAGTCCCCTAAGGCCATGCACCTGAGGCTGTGTGCGGATGGTGTCTGGAGGCGGGGCGTGGTCTTACGAGGCTATCGCTACCGCTTCAGTGCTAGTCAGCTTTGGCACGCGACTGCGGAACCTGTGGCTGGCAGAGTGGTGCTGCTTGGATGGGTTCCCGCAGGGTGGAAAAGCTTGTCAACAGAGGATGTGCAGGCGCTCAGCAGTCTAGGACTTCAGCAGCCCACACGGGCACGTGAACAGTGAACAGCGATGTCACTTGTCTCGATGGCAAGCCCATAGCTCAGTACAGCTGACACTGCACCAAGCCTTTGCGCGGCCTCTTGGCATGATGCCGCCTCGGAGCTTTTGGCCAGTTGGGGCCTTGAAACATGGTCGCACCGTCGAGCTCTGCTTGTCCTCCGACGAGGAAATGGACTGGGCACACAGCAAAGTCGTGACACGTGGGAAATCCACGGAGAGCGACATCGCTGTCATTTCGGACGACGACTGACCTGTAGAACTAGGGAATTTGGTGATTGCATGCTGCCAGTGCGAGTTGCTTATGCGAGGTGATGTGCCTGTGCAAGCGCATGTGTAATTGGTACTTGTTGCTGCATGTTGCATGATGATGAATTCATGCAAGTAATTCTAGAATTTATACCTTTAAAAAGGCTGTCTGAGAATTCGGTATTTCCCAGTTTTTGTGCCTGCATGTAGTTAAGTCAACTGCGCGACATCTGTCCCAAATCGTCGGTCGGGGCTACGTGCCTTCTGTACAGTAACATGGCCGTCTTGCGTGACACTTTTGCAGAGGGCGAGCATAAAGGGTCGGCTTGAGCTTCTCAGTTCGCGAAGTGAGTGTGGGGTCTTCTCAGTGGGCAATTGTGCGCTCGTTGACAGTAGGACACTTTGTTGCGGTCTTCCATGTCCTTCATGTCTGTTAGCAATACATGTCCTTTGCCATTTAACGACACACTCCATGCATAGCTACTGGGCTCCTGCGCTCTCTGCCCTTCTTGTGCTTTCTTAAGCCGTGCCTTGGGCAGCCATGGAAGTTCCTCCTACAGGTGAGATGGTGCTCGTCATGCCAGAGTGGCTCGTCTGGCTGGGAGGTCTCCTGGCGCGTGGACCCGTGGCCACGAGAGAAGTGGTTCTGGGCACATGTGTGCTCGCTGGCACGTGGTACTTCGCTCGACAGCTGCGGTCCAAGCTTCCGAAGTGGAATGTGACTACAAAGCCGGCGTGACCGTTGCCCGCATATGGTCCTGCCCCGGCAACCCCACAACTTGAGGGCGCGCTGGCGGCTCTCACGGACACGATCAAAGACGTGCTGCCGCCCATGCTGGAGACCATGGTCGCAGAGGCGGTGCAGAAGGCGATGCCACCCGTGGCGGGCTCAAGCCCTGCCGCTGATGGTGGGGAGACGCTGCAGGAATGCCTGCCACGTGTCTTGGCGGATGTCCTGCCTACCATGGTCACGGAAGCAGTGACACGGGCGATCCCGAAGACCGCTCAGGGTGACGGCGATGGGGGCACGGCGATCCTAGCTGTGGACACTCTGTCGGATACTGTCACGCAAGCCTTGGACAGCAAACTTGCTTTGCTGCAACCTCTCGACAAGATCAAGACCCTCTTCTCCAACTTCACGGTCAATAACAAGAAGAACGTTGAGGGTCTCCTCCAGACCACGTAAGCAAGTCAACTGCAGGATCTAAAGAAGGAATTCGAAACACTGCAAAACTCCGTCAACCAGATTGCGATGGCGGCGGACAAGAATGCGATTGCCCGCTTCACCACCCTGCATGGAGCGATGAAGAAGGGCTTTCAGAGCTTGGAGCAGGGGCTCGCTGGACGAGTTGAGGCCTGCGTGGCCAAGCTGGAAGGTCTTGCTGACTCGCTTGGAGATGTGGGCACGAAGCTTGAGAGCCAGTGCCACAAGCTCGAGAAACAAGGAGATCGCATTGAGAGCATGCTGCGCGAGAAGCTCACTTCCTTGCAAGCTGATGTCAATCGTCTCCTTGGCGAGCTCAATCAGCAGGGACGAGACATGCAGTCCACCATGAGGCGCAACGTGCAGGCTGTGGACTCTGCAGCCCAAGCTGTGGCTTCAATGGGCGCGGGATTCGCAGCGCCGCCCTTGGACTCCTCTGGAGTTAAGGAGACGGTCCAGATCACGCAGAACCTCGCGATCGCACAGGAGGAGGCCTTGGACATTCTCCGTACACTACGTGACCGCCCGGCTCCAACGCCTCCTCGAGATCGTCCACAAGGCCAGGAGGTGCCCCTTGCGACTCCGGTACAGATGCCAACGTCGCAAAACACGATGAGGTCGGTGATCAACCTGGCACGCAGACTCCCTGGGCCCTCGGTGTCCATGGCGAGAGTGATTTTTCCGAGTGGCAGACAGATGTTTGCCCCTGAGGAGGACATAGTAGGAGGCAACCCGACCTACCCCCCTTATCAATACCGCTAGGTCCTGGGTGTATTTGCACTTTTCTTGGGATCGACTCAGGGTAGGTTGGGCGCCTCTCTTGCAATTGTCGCTTGTACAGGGCTACATACGGACGCTAGGCAAGCCGTTTTCCACGCGTCAGAGAGCTGTATGCTGCAACGCGTGTTCTGCATGCCTGTATACTACTGCACACTGCATGTTTCGCCTTGTGTACTTTATGCATGACCTCCGGTAACTAGTCGGTCTTTTGTGTGCTGTGCAGTCTGTGCCCATCAGCACCTTGCATGACTGCATTTGGAATTCACAGCATGTGCAGCATGTGCATTCGGAATTTACAGCATGTGCATGTTAGAATTCGCTGCATCCATGTCGAATACACTACTTGAATTCATTGCGTTCTTGCATTCATGAATACTTTCAAGGCCTAATTACTTGCATTCTTACAGCGCACCATGCATGCCCACGTTTCGTCCGTTGTAGTTTGCAGGCAGCGACCTCAGGTGGTTCCTCCAGGACTTTTGGCATCTACTTTACGCGTGTTGTTGTACTCAGTCTTGGAGGAACACACCCAGGAATCGAGCGAACACTTTGAGCGAGACATTCAGCGTACATGTGCGTGTTGAGTGCAGATCACCGAAGTCCTAGAGCGACTGTTGTGAGTGATATTCAGCATACATGTGGTTGAGTGTAGATTAGCAACGCCTTAGATCGACTGTGGCGAGCGTACGTGGGCTCGCTTCTCTGAACCTCCGAGCTGGCATGCATTCCCCTACCCCCCCTAGTCCTCCTTCTTTGTGAGCACCGCTCCTACGCAGACCCCACCGGTGGGTGATGATGTCCGTCGTCTGTCGATGTTATGGATGCCTAGATCTCGGCTCATGTCGTGAGTAGGGGTTGCTGGGAAACTCTACCCTGTTCGCCCCTCCCTTTCACCAAGCAAACCACTAACCCGCTTGTGCGCAATGACCTTCACCCTGTGGCCACCCCCCTCGGGACTGCAGACTGGCATGACGGCTTACGGCCTACGTGAGCTGCTGGATGATCTGCAGATGGATGAAGCCGATCAGCTGGCTCGTGGTATATCGTGAATGAGCTGCGTCGACTAGCTGATTGGTGTCCGCTCGTGGCACAGAGTATGATGGTACAATTTTACTGGAGGCAGGTATCACAAGTGTGCGGCGGGTATATGAACCCCGCTGCCCCACAGGACCAACAAGAGCTGCGTCCGATACTCCTGGCCGTACTGCATGGGATACTGCAGCGTCTACGTCTTCGTACGTGGTTCATCTGGGCTGATGATCATGATGCCTTGACAACGCTGCGAAGTCGGCTAGTGAGTGATGAGCAACACAGACATGAAGATGGACGGGGCGGCGAACTACACAGTTCACCTATGGGTGTCTCATCTGGCTGCATGTTTACATATAGACGTGCGATGCGAGTGCCATGAGACTGCGCGGACAAAGGCCCGCTTAGGTGGGCTCGTGAAGGACCGCTTGGGCCGTGGCAACTACACCTTTGAATTCTGAATTTATTTGCATCTGCATGCGACTTGGGAATTTATTGCACCTGCATGTGCATGAGCAAGACAGCCGTGTTCTTTATTTGCAAGCTTATAGCATGGGACTGCATGTACCTGCATGGAGCGATGATCTGCATGTGGCTGAGTGCGCTTGAGTTGGAGTGGGCTCGGAAGATGCCCCCAGTGCTGGGCGTGGGACTGGATCAGTTCTGCATGCTTGGCGTGATGCAGTTCATGGCCACTAGAATTCTGGAATGCATGGACAATGAGATGGGACGGAATTTGCAGTAAGCATGTCGCGGTGAAGTGAGAATTCAGATGCATGCTTGATGAGACACGTGGAGACTGTGGTATGGCTCAGGCTAGCTGCAGTAGTGTTGAAACAGTAAGTGTCAGCGAGCTGCTTCCGCGAACAAGTTCTTGGTGTAGCTTGTCTAGCCGCATGGTACTTGTGTTCGTCCTACACGGGCAGCTCTGTTGGCATGCTCATGGCTGTCGAATCTGGCAGTCACACGTTGTGGAGCCGAGTGGTGCATGCGTCATGTGTGGCTGCTCGCGTGACGGACTTGTGTGGAGCCTTGCCTGCTGCGTGCGAGTGTGAGAGTCGAAACCCCTAAACCCTTAAAGCCCCAAACCATAGACGACCCCAAGCCCTAAAGCCCTGAACCCCAAAACCCCTAAAGCCCCAAACCCTAAACTACCCTAAGCCCTAAAGCCCCAAACCCTAAGCCCCTGAACCCTTAAACCCTAGACTTCACTAAACACCTAAACCTTAAACCGAGCTGCGAGCTTAGCAGCTGCAAGCCTCAGGCCCGGCACCGTGTAGCTTGATCCTGCAAGAGCCTCCAAAGTCCAAGCCTCCTAAATCCCATAAGCCCACAAGAATCAAGAGTATTAGTTACAACTTTTCTACCATTAAATTGGCTACCAACTTTGTGATGTGTTTTGCGGAGACCGTTGAAGCCGTGCTTAGCTAAGAGCTGTCATAGCATGTGTTGAAAAGAAGCACTTCAACCCCAGATCTCCCCAATGTGCCGAATCGGTCTGTCAACCCAGGAGTGCGCAGAGCATCCCACCGGGATTCTACATGTGAGTTGGTTAAGAAGAGAGGGCAGTTTCGAGTTGCACGGAGATCTGCGCATGAAGTGAAACCGGGCGGGGGGGTAGCTTGAAGTTCCCTCCGAACTTTGTTGTAACCCCCCCAAGCCCTTACAATCTGCGCCTTGAAACCTCAGCACGAAAGCCCCAAAAGCCCAAAGGACAAGGTCGAATCGCGAGCCAAGCTCCAACCAAGCTTCTAATTGTAAGGAACGATATCCAGCAGTCGTCGACATAAGTTTATGTAGGGTCCGGGGTTTCGGGGTTTAGGGTGTATATATAAGGCATAGGAGCACTACCCAGAAGTCCTCTACTTGCACAAACGATCGCTGCAAGTTGGGTTCGGAGTTAAGGGATGACCCGGATGCCTCAACGTAGGCATCTGTGGAAAAGAAGTTATACCCCGGCATGGCATAGTCTTAAGTAGGGGGTCTCCGATAAAACTAGCATAGTCGTGTAGGGGTGTCTACGTGATTCCTGGCTGATGCGGCCCAGACGCTTAAACACAGTGCTTCATGTTCAGGAGCAGAAGTCGGACCGGTTTATCCTCACCGATGCTACCTGGCAGGATAGGTCTTGGGATACCTATTTGTTTTCCTTCTGGGCATTGGGGAGGTAAGCATTGCACACTATTGCTGCCCAGAAGCCTTAATGCCCAAGTGGCGACGACATTACCTTCAACCTTCAATGGATTCAGCAGGCCACTATAGGGCATAGGAGCCTTAATCCCTCAACATGTCTAGTAGAGGGCATAGGGCATAGGGGCCTTCATCCGTAAACCCCACACCTGAGGGTTCCCCCCAATGTGTTGACCGTATGAAATGCATAAGATCCCAATCCTACTTGGAGGGATATTTTTCGTTTGGGCGCCCTTCTTTTGCAAACTTCCCGCTTCAGGCCTGGAGCCCTATCACCTAAATGCCTAAACCCTGAACCCCCGAATCCCCAAACCCTATAGAATCCCTCAACCCCCAGTTACCTCCATAGACCCTTCAGCCCAATCCCGAACCCCACTACCCCAAAAATCCTAAACCCTAAACCCTAACCCCCCAATACCCAACAAATGCAGCCTACACCCACAAGGACGCAGCCTCCTTTGCCGAGGCCGGGGCCGGGAAGCAAGAAGGCTTTGAAGTTTGGGTGGTACGATTAATCTTGCTAGTATATTAGCATTCAGGTTGGGTTCTTTTAGAACTGACCTTTAGGGTTTGGAGTTGGACGGGTTGCCGATTTAGGGTTGGAGGTTTATAATCGGGTGTGGGGTGTTTAGAGTTTCGGACTTCACTGCCTTGGGTTGATGTTGGGCCCTTATCGGAGGTTCTCGGAGTAAGCTAAACACTACAGAAATCGCTAAAGCATTGACGTCAACCCTTGCAGGAGGGTGCAGCCAGTTACGTATCCATGACCGCGCGGTGTCTTGGTGGCACGCAGCGTCACGCATGTTAAAGCCTTGGCGGCCTTGGATTTTTAGGGTTTGAGACTTAGGATGTACCATTGCCCAGGGTGAATGATGGTGAAGGTGTTTAACGTGAAAGTTTTGCTGCTGATCCACTGCGGAAAGTCCATGTAACAAGAGGGTTGCGAGTAGTTGTATGTCAGTAGGGTGAATAACAGGTGCTCGTTTTTGTCAATCACTTCATCCGTGCATACAGCCAGGGGCACCATAGGAACATGTTCGTGCAATCCTGCTTTCAGCACATTGGGGCTACCGACTTAAAAGCGCTCCGGATGCCGTTCTCTCCCTCTCTCGCTCTCTCTCTCTCTCTCTCTCTCTCTCTCTCGCTCGCTCTCTTTTGTGCGCCTAGGTGCAGCGGTGCTTTCCAAGCCCTTAGCACTTCTGGCTCTAAATGCTCCTTCTACTTGTAGCCATGAAAGGCGCTCCCTCCAAATCGAAGTTGCCGAATTGAACCTCACGGTTTGTTTGGGGTTCTCATATCATGGGTATTTTGATTCATAGCCCTAAGCCCCTAACCCTTATGAGCCTCAACCCTGAAACCCTTAACGCCTAAACACTGTCCTAGTTCTGGGCCTTGGTCCCTTTGGTCTGAGCCGGACTGTCCCGCTGCTCAGAGGCCGAAAGGTTCCCATCTCGGAGACTAGGGGTCGTCCTGAAGATGCTATGATATGCAACGGGTATGTTCATAAGTCTGCTTACCTTACAGCTGTGTACCCTTTGCTGCCACATCGATTTGTTACATATGTTCTGCATTGAACCTAGTGACCTAGTGTGAGCTGCAGGATTCAAAACTCCTTCGACCAGCTGTCGGTCCAAGGGTGTGTAGTAAGTACCAATACAACAAAATAAATGAAAGGCATGATATAACTCATAAGGTAAGATGCA